TTACTACAGAATGTTGCTGTTTTATATGGTAAAATTAATGGTATTTTGTGTTGCTCTGCCCCTGAGCAAACTGAGGACCACCAAGTTAAGTAAATCATTAGAAAGGGACAGAAATCTGAATACACTATGTATACTAATTTGCTTATGGACAGCAAAGACCTCTACCAAAATCTATACCCTCAATTTAATGACCACCTTGTATAGCACTTTGAAGCTATAATGAGTAAAAAGCAGTTCTCACTTCTCTTCAACAAAACATAAATGTCAAGTAGACGGTTATTTACCAGAAAATTAGAGAGAGCAAATCAAGAACAGTCTTATTCACTGTTTTTATAGTTTCTGAACAGATAGATGATTTTTTCCCTGTATATTCTAATACTTAAAGCTATTAAATAAAATTGATGTTTTTATAAATCATGTTGAAGTGAGAATGTAAGCTATTAGGTTCCTGGGACATTTTGAGCTCAGATTAATGATGCATGACTTTTCCTCCTGTAGGCATGCTGCAAAGGAAAGTAGAAGAGGTAACACAGGTTTTTGAGGATCATCGTCGCGCAGAGCAAGAACACAATATCAGAATTGCTTTTGATTGAATGACCGTATCTTCAGCATGTTGTTTTGGGATTACACATTATCTACAAATTGTGATGATGTGAAATAGAGTAGTATTCACAATTAACTACTTAATCTTTGGTTGCAATGAAGTTTGCGTGTGGTTGGTTTATTGTTTTTTTTTCCATTTAAATATTGTGCTGTTGAGAATTAAACTGTAGTTTGGCTTTTAGTATTAGCAAATCATAACTATATTAGCCCTCTTGGCTCTAGGCAGCAACCTGTTAGATATTGACTCCGTGTGTGTAATTTGTATCTTAAATTCTCCTAGATTCCATATTCTACCAGCAGCACACATTGTCCTTCTTCCTTTAACCGGATCATCAAGAAATGTTTGCCAAGAAATAGATGCCAGCCAGCCTTTACTGGGTGCCTGTTAACTTTCAACATATAGTGCTAGATACTGTAGTCTTTTTCCTCAAAGGAACTTACTGTCTAGTTTGAGATATAATTAATGCCTGTCTGTATGAAAACAGTATAGATAATACAAAGAAGTGTGTTATTAATTACAGAAAGTGTGCTATAGAAATTCAGAGAAGAGGAAACATTAGAATGGATTAAGTCTTGAATTAGGTTATTTTTAAAAGGGTAAGGTTCAGGCAATTCATTTATTTTTGATGTACAGATAACTTGGTATTTTATTTGGTTTTAGCATATGACTTATAGTTGCTGGCTTTTGTGTATTTGTTTGTTTTTCAAGAAGAAGCCTTGTTCTTAGCTTGGGAACAGTCTGATCTCTTGTGTTGCATGTTTTACCTAAGTCATAAATAAAGGTGATATTCTAAAAAATGAATGTATAACATGAAAGCAAACTTATTTAAAAGTTTGTGAGTGACTAGAGCTTAGTTGCTTGTAACTACTGAGCTAAATTTCTGTAATACTGACTGCACATGACCATCCTGAGGGGTACATATTACAGGAAGAAAATATCCTTGAAATGAGTATTAGTGATTTTTACCACCTTATATGTAAACTAAATATCAGCTTACATGGCCTTTTCATTCCTACCCAAACTTCTCAAAGTAGCAGTTTATCAGGTAAGTTTTTGTTACCACTCAAAACTTTAGAATATGAAAATAATCCAGAGACCATTTAATTTTGTGGATGATTTCTGTAGGTAAAGAGCTTTTTTGACTATAATCTTGGTTAATCTCCAATTTTTAAGCCTAGTGTTATTTCTGTTATGCCTTAGATAAAGACATGTTCCTTATTTTTTTTGGAGATTTAACTCTTATAAAGTAGTTGGTGTGTGAATTAAGTTCTACATTCAGTAAAAGGTACATGGTATGTAGAGGAAACACTGGATTTAGTCTTGTCTCTACTTAATTAACTGGACAAATAATTTCATTTTGGGCATCATCTTTCATCTATCCCATGAAAGCATTTAACCATATGAATAAGGTCTTTCCAAGTAAAAGAAACAAGTTTTCATTTCTCTGAAGTTTTGTGATTCCTTTATGTCCTTTCACAAATGATACATGCTCTTAAATTTGTCGTGTTCTTAAATTTGACACTTTTAGACTTTTCTTCGCCCTTTGAAAAAGCTGCTATATTTATTTTCTCCATAACAGCATTTATGCTATCTCATTTGGGGAATTTGAAAGACATGCACAGTTGATTACTCTTAATATTGAATGAGTGATGCTATCCCTCTTCTAGAGATTTTTGGTTTTAGCATCTTCTTCCATATCTGGAAATTATAATTGCTTCATAATGTATTCATCAGAAGTGTGCTGCGAACAAAGCATCTAAAAAGGACAAACACTGAAAATATGTCTATGTTAAGGAAGAACTTCTGGCTTAATTAAATGAACCTTATTAAATTGTCAGAAAGACAAATGAGGCATATTTTTCAGTTTGTCATAAATTCTTCTGGGGTGAAATTGTGAAATTACCTCATGGTAGGATCTCTGTGCTCATGAATAACATCTAGAACTCTCAAAGCTTTTCATAAACTGTCTCAAAGCTTTTATACACTGTCTCCCTTTTAAAGCAGGGAAAGGCATGCTGTGGGAAATGGAATAGCTATTATTCCACAGTTAATAAGTTTGGCAGAGCTAGAAATAGCCTGTTTTTCCTTCTAGTGCAATTTTCTGAATGTTTGTCCCTTGGTACCAACCACTGGGACTGGCTACAGTTATACACGGGTACAGAGAGTACTTTCTCATGACCTTGCTTTCCAGTTGCAATTCCACCCTACATGTCTCTTTAGCCATTTATTCTCCACTCATCCCACCTAGTGGATTCCTAATAAAGTGTGTATCACTTCTGTGCCAATAGGATGGCTGTCTTGTTAGAAGGTGTGTACATGTCTGGTGTTATGATCAGTGTAGTATTTGTTCCACCGTTTACCACTTCCCCAGGGGGCAAACACACCAGCAACTTCGGCCAATTTTCCCATCTACTTAGTGATCGATGCATCAGTTGGACAGTTTGGTTGAGCAGCAGAATTCAGCCTCACCACCATATAGGATTTACCTGGTACAGGCTCTGGTGTGATCGACGCTTTGTGTATGCTTACATTCTGTCTATCCTCTTGTGCCAAAGCCACAAAATAGTACATGTTATATCAGCATTCGTTCACTCGTGCACTTCAAGAACACAGTCATTTGCATATAACAGGTTTTGGATAACTCAGATGCTTTCCATGACCTTTTCAATCTGTAAGAAGTGCTTAGGATAGGAAGCACGATGTCTTCCAGTAGCTGCTCTTTGGTCTTACCCTCTAACTTGAGCATGGAAGTACAGAAAGTTTGGATAAGTTCCACCGGATAACAGAATATTTGCTCATAGATGACTGCCTATCAAGTGACTTTAAAACCATACTTTTACATAACACTTTATAGTCACCCTGTTCAGAAGTACTATCCCAATTTTACAGATGAGGAAACTGGCCTAGGCCAGTTAAAGAAACTTAGTGAAACTTACATAGTCTTGTAACTTGCCAAAGCAAAGGCTCAAGTCCAGACTGCCTGCTATTTTGTCTCTAACTGTGGGAACTGAGAAATCCAAACAGTGTGTTCCCCAAACACATGATCTTTTTTTTAATTCGTTGTGGTATAAGAAGCATTCCCTTTAATAAAAAAATATTATCGACTCAGTAATAAATATAATCATGTGATTCAAAAATCAAAGGGTACAAAAAGTGAGTTTTTCCCCATCCTTTTCGCTAACCATCCAGCTCCCCTACCTGGAAGCATTCACTTATCACCGGTCTATAGGTTTTCCCAGAGGTATTCGATGTATACACAAGGAAATACATACATATAATCCCATTTTTTTTACACAAATGGAAGCATACTATAGAAACTGTTCTGCACCTGGCTATTTATTGCACTAAATATAGTTTATATTGTTCAGTAGCAGTCCATAGAGAACTTAGTCATCTTTGGGACTCCTGCATAGTTTTCCATTGAATGGATTTATTACATTTGTGGGTATTTAAATTGTTTGCAACATTTTGTCATTATAAACAATGTTGCAGTGAATAATTTTATATATAAAATATATACATATATATCTGTATATGTGTGTGAAATACACATAAAATACATATGTACATACACATATATATACTCACACAATTACTTGAGGATATATAGTATTGAGGGTACTATTCATAGAGGTTGAATTTCTGTTCTAAAGGGAATGGGGATTTATGGTTTCAATTGTATCCTCACATTACCTTCCATAGAGGTTGTACCAATTTATGTTCCTACCAGCAGTGTAATGAGAGTGCTTAATTTCCCACAATCTCAACAAAAGGAATGTACCCTCTTCTGGATCTTTACTAATCTTGTAGGTGAAAATGTTATTTTAGTATACTTTTTAAAAATAAACGTTTTAGAACAGTTTTAGATATACATAAAGGTTGTATTGTACAGAGTTCTATATACCTCCACTCAGTTAACCTTAAGTGTTAACATCTTCTATAACTCTGGTATATTTGTCACATCTAATGAATCTTATTAACTAAAGTGCATAATTTATTCATACTTTTTTAGTTTTTACCTAGAGCCCTTTTTCTGTGCCACAGTCCCATGCAGGATACCACATTACATTTAGTCATTATGTCTTCTTTGGTTCCTTCGGCTGACAGATTCTCAGACTTTCCACGTTTTTGATGATCTGTACAGTTTTGAGGAGTACAGGTCATGTATTTTATAGTCAGTGTACTTTGAAATTTCCATCGCACTTATAAGTGAGATTGGACTTCTTTTCATATACTTAGCGACATTTGTATTACCATTTCTGGGAACTCAGAGCCCATGGTCTTAACCACTACGCTATACCTTTCTCCTGATTCAACATAATTATCAACAAAACATTCATACAGACTTCTGATTCTCAGGGTAGGAAGTACAATGTCACGTAAGCTTCTGTTACAGATAGAGGAGAACCATTAATGCAGGTGATGTGGTCAAACTTGTGTCTGATCACGGGCTACACTGCAGAAGATGGACCTGGGGCCCAACCGGAAACAGCAGGTAGGCCAGATAGTAAGTCCGTGAAAGCCGAAGCAGGGTAGATAGGCATACATTGGAGGAAAAGTAGAGGAGCCAGGATTTGGATGAGACAGTCAGGAAGTCTCAGGTGACTCCTAGCTTTATTAGCTGGATATTTTGGGTGCTGCCGTTAACCTCATTTGAGAAACATTTGAACAATTTACAACATACCCCTTACTCAGTCGGTATTTTCTCTTTCCGTTTCTTTAGCTCTGCGCGACTACAATTCCCAGAGCCCCGCACTCCACCACAATCCCCTTAGAGTCGGCCGCACAGAGTTCTGGGACTTGAAGTCCGCGGCCTATTCATCCAAGTTAGAGATAGGGGCCTGTGGAAACATGAAGAGGTAAGGGCTTGTCTGAGAGCAGGCGGTGAAGGGAGCTCTCTTCTACCTTTTAACTTTGAAAATGGCTTTCATGACTTTGTGTTTGGGCTATGTCACGTTCTCGGGATGCGGTTTCGTGTGAGCGGGAAGACAAAGGAGGAGGGAGGAGGGGAGACGGGCTAGACAGGCCTGCGGGGCGAAGTTCAGGAAGGGCCGCCGCCGCCGGTTCCCGTAGGAATGCCTTACCCGCACGGGCATCTAGGCCACGGCGCCGGCCCCGGGAGCTGCACGGACGCCGTGGCTTCTTTCTGCTTCAGACGGACCCACCCAGGTAAAAGGGTCTTGGCCGACTGATGCCCAGCGCCGGGAGAGACCCAGGCCAGCTCCTCCCCGTCCCGCCCTACCTCCACCTCATTCTCGGAAAGGGGCACAGGGTGGGCGCCTTTTTTGTTTTTGTTTTTCTTTGCAGTGTTTGTTTACTGAGGAAGACTTTCTCGGGCCCTGAGAGCATGTAGCGCTTTCAAATCTTAACCTAAGCTACTGATACTTTGTTTCTAAAAATTTAGACGGAAAGTACAAAACGGGCTCAATGTATCATAGGAAGAGAAAAGCACTGCTGTAAGCAGTTCCCCCTACTGGTTCTGCAGGAAACGGCAGTTTTAACTTGGCTGGTCATTGTTGAAAGCCTGAGCTTCACAGTTGTTGACAGTACACAATGGCTTTTTAAAGGATCCTCGTTAAATTAGTTTTGGATTCACTGCAAAGTAGAATAATCACTCTGGAGTAGGGCGGTGCATTGAAAGTTCTGATATTATGCTCTCCTGTACTGTCAGTTTCTGCATCTTTTAAAAAAACCGTTTCCCTGCCTCAAAATGACTTTTAAAAACGTGCTTATTGTGATATTTCATACATGCAAAATAATGTATATATACAGTTTAAAGAATAATAATAGACTCGGACCCACTACAGGCTTTAGAAATAGAACATTAGCAGTATCTTAGAAGTCCCCTGTGTGCCCCTCCCTGATTGCTTGTCCTCCCTCCTTTCTCCCTGAGGGAATTTGGCATTAATCATTCCCTTGCTTTTTTTTTTTTTTAAATAGGTCCACCACAGATGAATTTATCCCTAAACAAAATGTTGCTAGTGTTATCCATTTTTGAACTCCATATGAATGGACACATACTGTATGAATTTTTCTGCAACTTGCTTTTATTTCATTCAGCATTTCTTTTTGAGATTCATGTGTACTAATGTAGTTAGCTATGGTTTATTCCTTTCAAAGCCACTTTAAACGTAGCAAGAACTTTCAGAATTTTAAATAATAAATACAAATTGAGATACTTAAAAGGAAGTTTTTTAAAACCCTGGGCCTAAGGATATTTTAAAATTTTCTAAAAATAGGTCTCAGTCTTTCGAGAGCTTGGGAATCTTGCTTATAATTATGAGAGATGAGAGATACATAACACGAATACTAAGGGACTTTTTTTTATAAAGAAGGTATTTCATATTTGGTTTTCTCATGGAATTAACTCATTTTGTTTTTGTCTATTGTCACCTGTTGTTGCATGCTCTACTGGTCCTGCTATTTCTTTATACTCTAATAAGAGTTTTTCAGTTATTTAGGGTTGGATAGCTTATAGCATTACCTAGATTTCTACAGAGTAGTGCCTTAGCTATAAAACGTCATGATCCTCTTCCCATTTGTTTCTATACTCTCTTCTTTGGAAATCTCCTCTTTTCACAGCTCCAGATCCTGCCAACACAAGATGACTCGAGATTTCCATGTGCAGCCTCAGATTCTCATCTATACAATTCTTCCATCTCTTGCTTTCCTATTAGCCAATATCATTTACACTGTCACCTCAGACTCAGTATGTCTTTGAAGTATTCCTGATATTTCATACTGGTGTTTCAGTGTAATAGGTAGTTGACTCAGCATGGCTAAGACAATACTGACTTTCCTGTTCCCAAACCATTTATTCCGTCTGGATCTTCCTCTTTCTTTCATTGGTACCATTATTCTCATTGTTACACAGCTTGAAATTTCAGGGTTATCTTTGACTTCTTCCTTACCCCTACCTTCAAAAGGCCTTGCTCATCTAACTCTTCCTTTCTGTTTCCACTATTACCACTCCAGTTTGGACTTTCATCACGTTATGCTGGATACATTTAAAGAGTTTCCTAACTCATTCTTCTGGTTTCTTTCCTATGAATCTACAAGACATATTATAACCACATTCATTTTCCTAAACCATCATTTGTACTGTGTCACTTAACTGCCTAATGAATTGCTTTCTAATACCTATACATGAAGGTCCTGGCCCCTTAGTTGGAATATTTAAGGCCATTCATAATCTGTGTCTAATTACCCCCTCCAAGATAATCTCCTAGTGCTCTCATATGTGAATGCCAACTAAAGTGAACTTATTATCCCCCAGAACATATTTCTCTCTCTTTCTACTCAGTCTCCCTGTTCTATCCTTCATCATACCCAGTCCTTCAAATGCCAGTTTAAGAATTACCTTTCCAAAGTCTTCATTTACCACCCTAGCTCCCAATTCTCTCTTTCTTTTCTCTTCCTTCCTCTCTCCCCCTCCCTCCCTCTCTCCCTTCCCTCCTTCCCTGCATAGGCACGCAACACAATAACATACACACAAACCCTAAATAAATTGCAAGCTTCTTAAGGATAGGGACTGTGTCTTGAATATCTTTGACTCCATCAGTACCAAGCACAGTGCATTGTGTGTAAGTAGGTATTTAGTAACTGGTTGGGGGATGAATGATAAAGGGCAACAAACAGAAAAGTGTCTTCAAACAAATGGGGTCACTACTGGTAGATAATATAGCTAAAGAATATGTTTTGAGATTGACTGTCTCTTCTACTTTCTGTATACATTCTTATATCTACTCCAGGGTAAATAGCTGTGTGAAGAGTGGTGAGCATGTCCTGGAGGAGTTGGAAACAGAAGGGGAGAGGCAGCTGAAAAGCCTCCTTCAGCATCAACTTGATACCTCTGTCTCCATTGAGGAGTAGGTATTGATTTTGCAAACAGGTAGAGTATCATAGACCCTCACCTCCAGGTGGCTGACCCCTCTTAAAGCCCGGATGAAACACTCCTCTCCCACCCCCCCTTTCCTTGGCCAATGTCTACTTATTAGGCAGCATTGTGCTTCTGTGTCTCTTACTCTGGGAAGCTTCCCGTATCCCACCAAGTCTGGGCCAGTGGCCTTTCCTATGTCTTCCCTTAACATACATAGCACTTACAACCCGACAGGATCATTGCCTGTTTACTTGCTTCTCTTCTACAAAAGCAGAAACCATTTTTATCTTTTTTTACTGTTAAATCCTCGGTACCTGGCCCAGTGTCTGATGCATAGTAGGTACTCAGTAAATAAATATTTGATTCAGTCATTTATTGGTCCTGGGTGAGGGGAATAGCAATGGAATTCCGTGTCATTGCAGTGATGCTTCAGCCTAGAAATAGGACATGAGAGAGAAATTGCCAGTGCGTTTCATTGTGCCTCTTTTAATGGCGAACCCCATTTTCTGTAAATTGTGGTAACTTGAAGATATTCTTACTTGCTTCCTGCTTGTCTTGCAGATGTGTGTCTAAGAAAGAGAGTTTTGCTCCTGGTACTATGTACAAGCCCTTTGGGAAGGAAGCAGCTGGGACTATGACTTTGTCCCAGTTCCAGACACTGCACGAGAAGGACCAGGAAACTGCTTCTCTTAGGGAATTAGGGCTCAATGAAACAGAAATCTTGATCTGGAAGAGCCATGTTTCAGGTGAAAAGGTGAGTGGGGCCGTTTTTTTTTTTCCTCTGAAGAGTAAAGGGCGAGATTGCTTCCTTTGACACCGAGAACCTTTTCATTTTTAGTTCTTACAAAACTGAGCTCTGTATCTGAATATTCTTAGGTTTCTGTGATAGGGACCTTGGTAAAGAGATGCTCTTTCTTGACTTTCTAGCTAACACGTCTATGAATGGTCACCTCTGGTCCTTCACCAGCTTCTTTCTTATCTGAGGCATTAGATTATCACTTTCAGGCTATGTCATCTATGATACATGCCATCTCATTTCTCTGGTTTCAGAGGACAAGACTGAGGGCAACCCCGGAAGCAATACAGAACCGTCTTCAAGATATTGAAGAAAGGATCTCGGAGCGTCAGCGCATCCTTTGCCTGCCACAGAGATTTGCCAAGAGCAAACAGCTGACCCGGCGAGAAATGGAAATAGAAAAGTCTTTATTTCAGGGAGCTGATCGGCACTCCTTCCTCAAGGCTCTTTATTACCAAGGTATGTGATCGCCAGTGACTTTGATGTGCTCTTTCACTGAGAGAAAGATTTAACAGCAGGACATTAAATATGAAGAGTTAGGGAAGGGAGTTGGGGAAAGACAAACGATCACTCTCCTTGAGGAATGTATATAGGCCCGTGATAGAGACAAATATGTACATAGTCAGTTGTGATACCACATGGAAATCACTGTTACAGAGATGTGAATAAAATGCTAAGGGAGCACAGAACATAGAACATCGAAGTCTAGTTTGCAGGGGGAGTCAGGAGTTGACATTTGTACTAAGTCTTGACAGAGCAACAGTCATTTGTCAGTAAATAAGGGGCAGAGGGCATTACAGATAGTAGGTGAACAGGAACAGGTTTGTGAAAGGACCTGGTGCATCTTGGGAACAATAAGAAGTTCATTGTGGCAGGAAGTATAGGACACAGCAGGGGATGAGAGGGGGTGACACTGGAAAGGGAGGTGAGGCTAGATTGTGAAGGGTCTTTGGGCCGAACTGTAAATGAGCACAAAATATATAGATAAATGGTATGCATCTTAACCAGAAAGCACTGGTTTAACAGATAAGTTTTGCTAGGCACTGTGGGAGGTGTGCAGAAGTTTAGGAAATCGTTCCTGACTTTGTAGCAATTACAGTCTGGTTGGAAAGAGAACCATGTAACATTTAGCGACGACACTAGATGTAGTTGTTAAGTGCTGTAGGAGGGAAAGGCCACTGTGCATTGGCATGACTGAAGAAGGCCTCTCAGAGGAGGTAAGATTTCAATGTTCTTTTAATACTACCTATTCTATAGTAAGGAGAAGGAAAGGCAGTTCATTTGCAGCAGATGGTATGAGCACTATGGCGTGTTTGGGGGCTGTTGTGAAAGACCAGGTTAGAAAGGTAGCTAAAAATTTTGAACTTTATTTGGTGGGTAGTAGAGACCTATACAGAGTTAGTTATTCAGTTAGTTTGGATATGGTGAAAGGATTCTGAGTCAGGAGTAAACTGAAAAGCAGTATTTGAAAATGATGAATCTGGTGGCCAAGAAACAGGATGAGAGAGAGAAAGAACTGGAAGCAGGGAGAATGATTTAGGAGGCATTACAGTCGTATAGGCATGGAGGTCTAGACTAGAATGATGGCAGTGGTATTGGAAAGAGAGGTAGGTGTGATTATAAGAGACATCACAAAGGAAGAACTGGTTAGATTTATTGACTGAGAATGAAGGAGGAGGGTCAAAGGAGAGGTCAGAGACAACCCAGATGTTTTTAAGTCTGTGTGACTTTTTAACAACTGGCAAAATTAAGAAAGTCTTTATGGGGAGTTTCTGACGAAAGACGATAAGTTCAATTTGAAACATGTTGAATTGGTAAGAATGGCAGGATCATTAAATGGCACATATTGAGGAGGCAGTTGGAAATGCAGCAGGGAAGCTCAGGGGAGAGGTCAGAGCTGGCTACATACACAGAAGTGGGAATCATGGAAACTGAGGTGGCCGGTAAAGCCGTGAGCATGATTGAATGCTTTGTTAGAGACAGAGAGACCATAGACATGGAACAGCAGTGGTGAAGGAAGGAATGAAAGAACCAGTGAACAGCCTCTTGTGGAGAGACCTAGCATACTGATTAAGAGCATGGGCTCTGGAGGCAGACTGCTGGAAAAATCCTGGCTCCCCCACTTAACTAGCTTGTTATAAGATGTTGGGCAAGTTACCACCCTACACTTCAATTTCTTCATCTTGTAAAATGAGAATATTAATAATACCTACATTATAGGGTTGTTAGAAGGATTAAGTGAGGTAATACGTGTAAATCACTTAGAGCAGTACCTGGTATTTGGGGTGGGTGGGTGGTGTATGAATCTGTTCTGTTTCCTATCTTTGAAACTCCTTGCTTTAAACCTTCACAGCATACCACAAAAAGACAAGTGCAGACAAGTACATGACCTCAATGAAGAGGAAGATAAAATTAGGCACAAAAGGCAAGTCGAGAGTTTTCTTACAGTGTTAGATTTAGGAATGTAACATAGGGTCCCAGACTTCTGAGTCGAGTGCTTATTTAATTCCATATTCAGTATATGACAATGTTTGTAGGAAATGATCCAGAGGGAGCAATTTATCCTGATAAAGAATATTAAAGGGAGGAGTTAGTAGAAGTTGTAAAACTTTTACATTTAGTGTTGTTGATTTTTTTCTCTCTCTACCTTTACGTTATTGTACCAGATATAAAATGACCTTAATGATTTTTAGATCCTATTTCACAACTAATTCTGAATATTTTTATTAATCACTAAAGTATAACTATTGATGATGATGATGATATAATAGCAATTTTTTCTTTTATTTTAAAAATGAACTTACAATAAAATTGCCTGTTTTTCTTTTTTTTCTTGGTGTACAATTCTATGAATTGTAAATCATGTAAATCATGTAGATTCATGTTACCACCACAATCAGGATAGAGAACAGCTCCATCACTCTAAAAATCCTTCATCCCATCCATTGATACTCACCCCCCAACTCCACCCATAATCTCTGGCAATCCCTGATTTGTTCTCCATCACTGTAGTTGTGTCTTTTAAAGAACGTCATAAAGATGGAATCATACAATACGTCATCTTTTAAGTGTGGCTTCTTTCATTTAGTGTAATGCCTTGAGAGTCATCCAAGTTGTGTGTATCAATAGTTCATTCATTTTGCTGAGTAGCATTCCATTGTGCGGATATTCCAAAGTTTGTTTATCCATCCACCCATTGAAGTGCATTTGGGCTGTTTCCAGGTTATGGTGACTGTGAATAATACTGATAATGAACATTTTTGTACAGGTTTTTGTGTGAACATAAATTTTTATTTCTCTAAGGTAAATATCTAGGAGTGGGATTACTGGGTCATATGGTAAGTGTCTGTTTAACTTTATAAGATTTTCCAGAGTGGCTGAACCATTTTGCATTCCCACCAGCAGTGTATGAGAGTTCCAGTTGCTCTACATCTTTGTTGGCATTCGGTATTGTTGGTATTTATTTTAGTTCTTCTAGTAGCTGTGAAGTGGTATCTCATTGTAGTTTTAATTTGCTTTTCCTTAATAGCTAATGATGTTGAACATCTTTTCATGTGCTTATTTGCCATCCTTCTATCCTGTTTGCTGAAGTGTCTGTTCAAATCTTGTGCTGTTTTTTAATTGGGTGGTTTATTTTCTTTATGACTTTTGAGAGTTCTTTATATATTCTAAATGCAATTCTCTGATGGATATATGATTTGCAAATATTTTATCCCAGTCTGTAGCTTATCTTTTCATTCTCTTAACAGTGTCTTTTGCAGAACAAACTCTTTTTTTATCATGGTAAAATTTACCTAACATAAAATTGACCATTTTAACCATGTTTTCAGTGTACAATTCTGTGGCATTAAGTATATTCACATTGTTCTGCAACCATCATCGCTATTCATCTCCAGAACTTTTTCATCTTCCCAAACTGAAACTCTGTACCCAGTAAACACAATTTCCCCTCCTCCCCTTTGCCCCTGGCAACCACCATTCCTTCTGTCTCTGTGAATTTGACTACTCTAGGTGCCTCATATAAGTGGAATCATACAGTATTTGTTCTTCTGTGTCTGGTTTATTTCACTTAATGTCTTCTAGGTCATCCATGTGTCAGAATTTCCTTCCTTCTCAAGGCTGAATAATACTCCATTATATGTATGTACCACATTTTGTTTAGCCCTTTGTCTGTCAGTAGACACTTGTGTTGCTTCTACCTTTTAGCTGTTGTAAATAATACTGCTATGAAACTGGATGTACAGGTGTCTGCTCAAGTCCCTGCTTTCAGTTCTTTTGAGTATATACCCAGAAGTGGAATTGCTGGATCGTATGGTAATTCTGTGTTTAATCTTTTGAGGAACTTCCATACATACAGAGGCTATATCATTTTACATGCCCACCAGCAATGAAGAAGGATTCCAATTTCCCCACACCCTTGCCGACAATTTCTTTTCTTCTTTTTTGTGACAGCCATCCTAACGGGTGTGAAGTGGTATTTCATTGTGGTTTTGATTTGCATTTCCCTAATGACTAGTGATGTTGTGCATCTTTTTCATGTGCTTTTTGGCCATTTGTGTATCTTCTTTGGAGAAATGTCTATGTAAGTCCTTTGCCCATTATTTAAACTGGTTGTTTATTTATTTATGTTAAGTTGTAGGATTTTTTTTTGTATATTCTAAATATTGATTCCCTCATCAGATAAATAATTTGCAAGTATTTCCCTTCATTTCATGATTTGCCTTCTCTGTTGATAGTGTCCTTTGATGCACAAAAGTTTATATTTTTGAAGAAGTCTAATTTGTCAGATTTTTCTTTTGTTACTTGTGCTTTTGGTGTCGTGGCCAATAAATCATTGCCAAATCTAATGCCATAAAGGTTTTCTCCTGTGTTATCTTCTGAGCATTTTGTAGTTTTAGCTCTTATGTTTAGGTCTTTGATCCATCTTGAGTTAATTTTTTGTATATGTCATAAGGTAAGGATCCAACTTTATTTTTTGCATGTTGATAATCCAGTTTTCCTAATACTACTTGTTGAAAAGACTGTCCTTTACCCATTGAATGTTCTTAGCATCCTCTCCAAAAATCATTTGACCATAAGTATATGAGTCTGTTCCTAGGCTCTCCATTCTATTCCATTGGTGTACATGTCTGTCTTTATGCCAGTGCCATGCCACACTGTTTTAATTACCATAGATTTGTAGTAAGTTTTGAAGTCAGGAAGTGTGAGACCTCCAACTTTGTTCTTCTTTTTCAAGATTTTCACTATTTAGGAACCCTTGAGACACCATTTGATTTTTAGGATGGATTTTTCTATTTCTGGAAAAAAATGTCATTGGGATTTTGATAGGGATTATACTGAATCTGTATTATCACTTTGGGTAATATTGACATCTTAATGATATAGTAAGTCTTCAGTTCATGAACATGGGATGTCTTTGCATTTATGTGTATCTTTAATTCTTCCAGCAACATTTTGTA